CCAGGAAGCCACATTCTCCCCGGACGTCCAGAACAGCCCCGTCCCCGCCCAGAGACCGCACTGGACTTCTCACCCCGCAGCTGCCTGGTGGTAGCTGTGTGCGGCTTAGAGCCTCCCGGTCTCCGGCGATTTCTTACAGCGATCGCAGGACACGAATTCAGACGTGATGCCTGTAAAGCACCTACTGTGTGCCAAGCCCTGGGCGATGAGCCGAAACTTGGTGATGAGCATTGGCAAAGCAGACACATTCACACAGGGGCCAGGGGTCACAGACACCAGGGAAGGGATGCCTGGGGGCCAGGGGCCCCTTCGCTGGGGTCACTGCTCTGACAGCAGAGTCAGACAGCGGAGTCCTGGAGGACGAGGAGGGCCAGGGAAAGGGCTTAACGATCGGAAAGCCTGCGGGTGTGGCCGAAGCAGAGAGAACCACGCACACGGGCGAGTGCCAGCCCACAGTGCCCTGCTGGCTGCAGGGGGTTTGGGTTTTGTCTAAGGGCCTCTGCAGGGGATGGGACTGATGGTGGGAGGCACAGGACAGCCCTGAGCTTCGGGAAGTAGCACCAATAACCCTCCCATGTGCTCCTTCCAGCCGGCACGTGCTGAAGCCTCCACGCACAGGACAACCCATGTGTGAGGACTGTGCTTCTCCCACTTCACAGCTGAGGAGGCTGAGGCCTGGACAGGGTGGGCAGCCTGCAGCTAGGACTCCACCTTTCACTTACACCCAGCGGGGGACAGTGACTGGGAGTGTCCAGCAGGGGGCAGCACCCCTACTGTTCTGTCTCACTAATGCACTAGCCTGCAAAACAGCTTTCTCATCCGTTGGGATGGATTAGAAAACACACGATCCTAGAGAGGAGTCCCTGAGGGGCTGGGGGCCTGAGGTCCTGGACTTATGGGTCCCTGAGGAATTTCTGGATGCCTGGGCGGCTGGGAGCCATCCTCCAGCCTGGTCCCCCACAACGTTCTACCCGGCCACTGAGCCACGGCATTGACAGAGAAACCCCCAAACCCAGAGCAGGATTCCCCAGGGAGGATACCAGAAGGAAAGCTGTGGATAAGCCAGCCTCTGGGTCCCCTCCTCCTGAGCCCCCCACCTCTCTCCACCCAACACACGTGTGTGTGTGTGTGTGTGTGTGTGTGTGTGCACGCGTGTGTGTGTGTCTATGTGGTGAGAGCCCGCACGCTGAGTCCCTCCCCTCCCGAGCCCAGCAGCTGTCCCCGGGGAGCCCAGTTCTCTGGAACTGCCAGCTCCCAGCACCGGGCCCTCCTCGGGGAAAACTGAGGCCCCAGAGAACAGAGGCGGCTGACGCTGGGGGCGGGGGCGGAGTTCCCCGGCTGGAGGGGGGGCACCCGCTCCGGCCTCTGAGGCTGCACAGCCAGGGAGGGCCCGGGCCTCGGGAGGATGAACATGCAGCCACAGTCCGCTTCCCCTGAGTGGCCTGCTCAGAGGCTCCCGGGCCCAGGGCTCTTTGGGCCTCGCCGTCCCCATCCGCTTCCCCACCGGGAACCGCGGGCGGACGGGCGAGCTTTGCCGCGACATGAACCCTGAGGACATGGTGCTCAGGGAAGCAGTCCCCGCGTCCAGGACAGACCTGCGTGGCCCACTCCTGGGAGGGCCCTCGAGGGCCGAGCCAGGGCGGCAGGGCAGGGTGGGAGCGGGGCGGGGAGAGTGAGGGGTGAGTGTTTAGTGGGGACGGAGTGTCCATTTGGGAGGATGATAAAGTTCCAGAGTCCGGTGGTGAGGATGGTTGCACAAGAACGTGCCTGATGCCACTGGGAATGATTAAGATGCTAAATTGTATGTGTACTTTATGTGTATTTTACTACAGGTAAAAACAAGATTCTGCCTTCGCCCCTCAGTTTCCAGAGCCCGGCAGGCAGCAGGAGGCAGTGGTGGCTGAGGGAGTGAAAGCCGAGAGAGGTGGTCTGAGAGAGACAAATGGAAACGGAGAGACAGGGAAAGTGAAGCCCAAAGCCAGCACCTTCCCTTCCGCCTTAAACCGTGCTTCCCAGCAGTGGCTCTCCTGCAGTGGTTCTGCCCCCGGGCATTTGGTGGTACCTGGAGACTCTGGGGACGTTTTTGGTGGAAGGGAGCGGGAGAGTAAGTAACTTCCAATGCACAGGACAGCCCGCCGCCAGGAATCACCCAGCCACAATGTCAGTGCTGAGGAAGAGAAGCCGGCCTCAGAGACACCTCCTCCCGGAAGCCCTCCTGGGTTTGACACACCTACTGCCTCAGTATCCCTTTCCCTTCCCCCCTGGCATCACGGGGGGCGGGGGGGGGGAGGAGTTAAGCAGGTGCGTGAGTCCAGGGCAGTTCCAAGATGGGGCTCGGATCAGGTGCTGCGGGTCCTGCATCACGCTTGCTGAGGATCGAGTTCAGTGCCGTGGGTGGGGCTCCGCGCAGCGCCGAGCGCAGGTTAGCGCTGGAGATCCGAGCGCCGAGCACCGGTGGGGCGAGTGGGGCTGTGCAGGGCCAGGGCTGGCTGGCGTGGGGCTGGTTTGGGGACCACAGAGAGTCCTTGCAAGACCCCTGACCGACTGGCGCTGAGCCAGCGCAGCCGGTGCTCACGGATCCCAGCCCCGAAAGAAGAACCGTGACCTCAGATCGCCGTCCGCGGCCGCAGCTTCCTGTTTTCCCCTGAAGCGGGGAGGGACAGGGTTCCTGCCGAGGGGAAGGAAGGGGCGATCGCGTGACGGGAACCCCCGTTGAGATTTCACCCCCAAAGCTTCTTTATATATATATATATATTTTTTTAATTGATTTTGTTTTTTACAGAGAGGAAGGGAGAGGGATAGAGAGTTACAAACATCGATGAGAGAGAAACATCGATCAGCTGCCTCCTGCACACCTCCCACTGGGGATGTGCCCACAACCAAGGTACATGCCTTTGACCAGAATTGAACCCGGGACCCTTAGCTGCAGGCCGGGGCTCTATCCACGGATAGAGGGGCCAGAACATCGCTTCTGGAAACTGGTTGTTGGCAGGGACGGAGCCGGGAGCCGGGCCCAGCACTGTGGGTCCGGGTGTGGCTGTGGCCAGAGCCTGGGGCGGAGCAGGTCTGGAAACACCACCCTCCAACCAGCCCCACCCTTCCATGGCGCCCAGCACCACTGGCTCCAACACGTTGTCCTCATCTCCTCTGGGTCCCCATCGCTAGGGCAGCCCGCTGTCCCCCAGACACTGGGCTGACACCGTCACTTCCCACAGCGTCCTCTGAGCACCCGTTACAGGCCTGTCTCCCTCAAATCAGCCTGCTCTCCCCACCCCAGAGCCACTGCTCCGGGCCACCGCCTCTGGCCCTGGACCCAGCCACAGCCTCCCCCCCCCCCCACCGTCCCCACCCCGGCCAGGCCCTCCAAAAACAGTCCTCACAACTTCCCCCTCCTTCTCCCCTCTCCCTCCCTCCAGCCGGCCCCCCCCCCCCAGCTCCTAGGTCCCTCCAGGCCCCATGCTGTCCTCTGTCCGCCCAGCAGCCCCAGTGGCCTCTCTCTGATGCCCACTGACGCTCTGTTTAAAGTGGTCACCCTCTGTCCCTTGGCAGCCACGCAATGGGTTCAAGCCCCCACAATTAGCCCAGATCAAGGTGGGGTGCAGAATGAGTACCCAGCCCGCCAGCCATCCGTTCAGCAGACATGAGCAGAGGCCCCGACCCCCACGCTGGGGACACGGTGGCAGACAGGGCAGCGCGTGCCTGTTGTCATGGAGCGCACGCTCCCGGGACCTTCCCGCCAGACCCTCCCCCTCTGGTGGCCGCCCGCTCAGGTCTGGCTGGGGCATGGGCACAAGGGGGCTCCCTCCAGAGTGAGAGCCCGGTGTGGAGCCTGGGGAAGCAGGGTGTGGCACTGGGCAGTCCCCCGTTGAGACTGGGTCAGGAGACATGGTCTAGGGCAGCGGTCGCCAACCGGTCACCCGCAGGCCACTGGAGGTCGGTGAGGCCCAGGAGGCTGGTGACCGCTGGTCTAGGGATAATGAGTGAGGTGGTAACGTGCCAAGGAGTCCCTGTAAATACAAGGCTGGGTTGCATAATGGTTAGCGCTTTAGACTTGATGCTCACATCGCCTGAGTTCAAATCCTGCTTCTGCCACGCAAGAGCTGTGTGACCTTGGGTAAGTTACTTAACCTCTCTGTGCTTCATGTCCTCCACCCATAAGGCAATCTGGGGGACAAAGCATCTACCTTACAGGGTGATTATGAACATTAAATGTGTTACTACCTTTAGGCTGCTGAGTGTGCTTGGTACACGTACTACTAAATTAAACTGTACAACAAAATTGCCAACATCTGACCACAATTTTAACATGTTATCCCACGTGTCTTTCTTTCTCTTTTCTCCTTCCCTCTCCATTCTCTCCCCTCTCCTGCCCAGTCGCTCTGGTTCGGACCCTGACTCTACCACCCTCCTCCCTTAGCAGTCTGGGGACGAGGGGTGGCGCCTCTGAGCCTGCTTGCTCACCTGAGACGTGGAGGTAATAATAGAAGGGGCTGCCGGTTGTGGCTCACCGAGGCAGCCATGTGTGGGCGCGATCAGCTGGGTGCCCACAGTTAGGGGTGTGGAGAGCGCCCGCGGCTCTGCTTTCAGGAGAAAGTGCCTCCAGGTTCACCTCCTCGCACAGCGGCGGCCTCTGCCGACGGCCCCAGCGGACAGGACCGCAATCCCAGAGCTCGCAGTGCGGTGAGTGGGGATGTGCGATGCTGTCACTGCAAACGTGTGCCCGTGCTCGTGCCTTGGGGTGTGCCTGTGTGAGTGTGGATGTGTGTGCACGTGTGTGACTCCGTGTGTGTGCGTGTGCCGGGGCTGGTGGTGGGAAGTGGACATGGGTTTCCTAGAAGAAACGAGCTCTGGGCTGTCTCGAGGGGCAGCCGAGAGGAGAGCTGTGTGAGGAAGGGCAGTGGGCAGTGCTGGGGGGTGTCCTGCAGGCTCTCAGGTGTGCGGGGACCTGCTGGGCAAAGGGGAAGCCAGGCAAAGAGATGAGTTCGGCGTGTGCACGGGCGATGGCGGAGGCCCTGGGGAGCCGGGGAAGGCTGTAAGCGGAGGCGAGCGTTCTCGTGCTGGGGAACGGCCTGGTTTCTGCACCGTCACCTTGACGCTTGCCAGCAGACGCCCCCCAGGAGGCCATGGCCCGGGTGGCTGAGCAAACAGGCTTCAAGGTCACAGTTCCTGGGTTCAAGCACTGGGAATTGGACAAACCACGTATCCTCTCAGCTGTCAGCGCCCACAGGGGGTTACTGAGCAGCTGCTGCATGCCGGCTTCTCACACCCCATTGTGCCTCAGCCCGGGGTCAGCACTGTCACTCACCCAGGGGACAGAGAGCAACGGAGTCACTGTCGGGGAGAAGCCAGGACTCAGCTGCAGGACTGACCAGCTTGGGCTCAGGCATGTCCAGCCACACAAGGGGGACATCCAGGCCTCCCCCAAGATGGCCAGATACCTACAATAGTTCGAGCTGCCGGTAATCGGAGCCTGACAGCCCCACCTCTTCATTCCCCAAGGCTCAGAGAGGGGAAGCTACTTGCCCACAGTCACACAGCAAGAGCGGCAGCCAGCGACCCCCAGGCTTGTCTGACCCAAAGTCCACGCTCTTCGGCACATAGTAGGTGCTTTAAAGTCAGGTGACTTCACCCTGGCCAATGTGCTAGTGCTTACAGCGTCAGCCCCTCCTACCAAAGGGTCGCAGGTTCAGCTCCCGGTCCAGCGCATGTACCTGGGTTGTAGGTTGGATCCCAAGCCCAGGTCAAGGCACCTGCTGAAGGCAACCAATTGTGTCTCTCTCACATTGGCGTTTTCCTCTCTCCCCCTCTTTCCCTCCCTCCCACTCTCTAAAAATCAGTGGGAAAATCCTCAGGGAGCATTAATATCAACAAAAAAAATAATAACTTCATAAATCCTCAGGGAGCATTAACCAAAAAAGTAACTAAATAAAACCAAGCGACTTCAAAGGTGTCTGGAAAGGTTGGCAGAAGAGGTGGCCGAGGCCTGGCCAGGGTAGGTGCCTGACAAAGGCTTTGTGCCTGAAGGCCCGTGTGCTCACCTGTGCTGGCGGCCTGCGTGCAGTCTTCTCCCTGCGATCCCACCGTGCGTGGCTCACGGGTCGGGCGCTGTCACAGACCCCGTGTTAGTGCGGAAGAAACTGAGGCTCAGACGGCGTGTCCCAGGCCCCGGTGCACAGGCAGCGAGCTGACAAGTGCTGCGGGAGGACCCTGTGCCAGGCCTGTTCGAAGCGCGTTCCACACTCACAGAGCCGGCTCTGCTGCAGCAGAGGGGCTTCAGACAGTCATGTAAAGAAGGGATGGTTCTGAGGCTCAGCCACCTGCCAAGGTCTGCGTGCACCGGGCCCTTCACCCCGGCTGTCTCCTTACGGGCGCCACTGACCCCGGCCGTGAGCTAGGCAGCAGCCGCGGGTGCCCGTGGAGCTTCTCGGCCCTCGGATGCTGTCCTGGGCCAGCACCTCGGGCTGACGCCTACCTGACCCTTCTTAGAACACAGGGCCCCTCAAGTGGACGGTGTTGGCAGGTGGAGAGCACCATCGCTCAGGACCCAACCAGCACTGCCATGGAGGAGGGCGCGTACTCAGGTGAGAGGCTCTCTGGAGCTGCCGCTGGCAGAAGCCGGAGCCCTGCCCTCCTTCCGCGCGGGCTCCGGGCCCTCCCTGGGAAGAAGAGTGAATTTCTAGGAAAGGCCCATTGTGGGGGGCGGGCACAGAGCCGCTCAGAAAGGGAAGCCGGGCTACCTCCCTTCTCTGACTCAACAGCCTCCCCACAGCCAGGCGGCTCCAGCTGGGGCGCCGCAGCCCTGCAGGGTGGAGGAGCAGGCCCCTGGGACAGGGACGGGACGCAGAGCAAGTGGGGTTCAGCATGAACCCTCCCGGCCAGGATGAGGGGAGGGGGGCTGCTCCTGCAGTGGAGCCTCCAGGTAGAGTGGTGTGGGGCAGGAGCTCGGGTGAGGCTGGGGGTTCTGACGTTATGGGGGTGGCTGACCTGGGTGGGCTCGGCCATCTGCGGGGGGGCACACGGACCCCCCCACGGCCCCGTGCGTCTCTCGGGAAGGGCCTGGCCCTCAGTCAGGCTCGCTGCGGCTGTGGTTGGGCAGAAGGAGCGGCTGGATGGGCAGAGCCAGGCTGGATGCGCAGGTGGACGGAATGTAGAGAGAGGGGTGGGGTGGGCTCTGGCGGGCTCCCGGGCCTTGGGGCCCTGAGCCCTGGGGAGGGGACGGAGTGGGAGCCAGCCTCACCGCGCCCTCCCCCCTCCTGGCAGACGTCCTGCAGTTTCGCCGAGGGCGAGGGCGGCGGCCGTGCTGCAGACGCGGGACGCAGATCGTGCTGCTGGGGCTGGTGATGGCCACGCTGTGGGCTGGGCTGCTGACCCTGCTGCTCCTGTGGCGTGAGAGCACCCCCAGCCCCGGGCCACCCTCCTGTTCCCTCCGACACCCACTCCAGACCCTGGGGCCCACACTCCCTGGGAGCCAGTTCTCCTCCCGTCTCCCCCTTGGCCCCTGCAGACCCCTCTCATCTCCTGCTCCCTCTCAGGCCCCCCTCCCACGCGGCAACCCCCTCTCCCACCCTTTGGGCGCCTCGGCGTGATCTCCCCAGGCCTCCGTCCCCAGCTGGCAGGTAGGCTGTGGGCGGTGGGCAAGCTGAAACCCCTCCTCTCCTCTCCTCCCCTCTCCCCTGCCCAGACCGGGACGCAGTGCAGGGCCTGAGACAGCTGGGGGACATCGCTGCCCGGAACGGTATGAGGGGAAACCAGGCTCCTGTCCTGCTTCTGCTGCTGACCACGGTGGGATGTGGGCGGAGAACTGGGCTCCAGTGTCCCCCAGGAACTCCAGGGCCAGCCTGTGTTCCTCCCTCCCCCGTGGGGGGTAAGCCCAGTGACTCCTGGAGGGCAGGGGAGGGCCCTGAGGGGCGCCTGACGAAAGGCTGCAGAACTGCTCCGGCCTCAGCCTAGTCACCTGCAAAATGGGCCTCATCAGCGCTGAGAGGTGAGATCTGTGCAGCCCCGAGAAGGCCCCTGACCCCAGTGAGCTCTCAGAGGGGCCTGCTGCTTTACAGGTAACCCTGCAGGAGGAAAGGCACACAGTCCTTTCTACGCCGGCACTTGCCTGAGGACTGTTGCCACCAGAATTTAAAACCAAAAGCTGCAGCCACAGTGACTGTGTGGGGGTCCCTGCACTCGGGGCTGAGGAAGGGCTGGGGATTCAAGGACCTGCCTGCCTGGCTCCTGAGGACGCACCCCCCCCCCCCCCCCCCCCAGTCTCTCAGGTTTCCAAGGACGTGGAAAGACAAAAGGGTGACCAGAGGGCCCAGCAGACCCAGGGTGAGTGGCTTCAGCGGGGGCTGGGAGAGGGCGGAGGGGGGTGGTGAGCATGCGGAGACAGGGCTGCAGGCCACCCGAGCTGCACGGCCCTGAGCCCCGCCAGAGCCCAGGGCCTGTGGGGGAGGGGTGGCCTGACAGCCGTGCTCACACTGGGCCTCTGCCCTGCCAGTGGCCCAGGTGCTGCAGAGCGTGGAGGAGCTCCAGGCAGGACAGAAGCAGCTCCAATCAGGACAGGAGCAGCTCCAATCTGGACAGGAGCAGCTCCAATCAGGACAGGAGCAGCTCCAATCAGGACAGGAGCAGCTCCAGGCAGGACAGGAGCAGCTCCAGGCAGGACAGAAGAGAATGGAAATCCAGGGTGAGAGCTGGGGGTGGTAGGGGGTGGGGGTGGGGGGTGTTCTAGAGCCATGGGGGCCTCGAGACCCTCAGGCATAACTCCTGACACCCATCTTGTCCCCCCTCTCCCCCCCGTCAGACTCAGATCTCTCTCGGAACCTGGATGGACTGCTAGAAGACCTGAGCAACTTCAAGTCCCAGGGTGAGGCTTGGGAGGGGCCGGGGCTGGGCGGGACCAGGAGAGCCCACACGTTTGTCTGTGACCACTGCCCCGTCCAACCACCCAAGGCTTAAACGAGAGACGCGCGGCCTTGGATTCACTGGAAAGACTCCAGGAGGAGGTGGCCAAGCTGAGGATAGAGTTCCGGGTGTCCAATGGTGAGTGCGTGCGTTTGTGCCCACAGGAGTGTTGATATAATCATGTGACAGCACAGGTGTGTGGTGGTGGAGCATGGCTGTGAGGGAGGGTGTGTGTGTCTGACAGTGTGTGGTGGGGGACAGGGCTAACGGAGGGCACACGAGGGCGCCTGTGCTGAGTCCAGCTGCACCCTCCACACCTGAGGGCGGAGCTCCACGTTTCCCTCCGGTAAAGCCCTCACTGGGTTTTTCTTTTTCTTTTTTTTTTTAATATATTTTATTGATTTTTTACAGAGAGGAAGGGAGAGAGATAGAGAGCTAGAAACATCGATGAGAGAGAAACATCAACCAGCTGCCTCTTGCACACCCCCGACCGGGGATGTGCCCGCAACCAACGTACATGCCCTTGACCAGAATCGAACCCGGGACCTTTCAGTCCGCAGACCGACGCTCTACCGCTGAGCCAAACCGGTTTCGGCCTGTCACTGGGCTCTTTACTGACCGGTCCTCTGTCCACACGGCTCAGCAGAGGGCCATGAGTAGGAGGCCCTCAGCCACAGCCCCCCCAGAAGACGGTGCGGCCCAGCCGGAGGGCGTAGCCGGTCACCGCGGGGGCAGGGGGCATGACGAGTGTCCTGGCACAGGCCCCGCAGTGTGTCGCTGTGCCTTTAAGCTGCAGTCCCACCCACCACCCCTTGGCTTTGTCTTCCACCCCCGGGAAGCCCCTGGGGGCTGAGTGAGAGGAGGAAGGCTGTGCAGGAGGAGTGCTGTCCCCGGGGACCAGGGCGGCTGTGGGATTCCCAGCAGGAAGCCCCGGACCGGCCGGGAGGGGTCTGGGCCCGCTCACTCAGGGATGACCTCCGATGGGCGGCAGCTCCGGGGCTGTCTCTCAGGGGCGAGGTGACACGCAGCCACTCCTTTGCCAAGCTTCCCTCGAAGGCCGGCCATGCTCTCTGCTGTCTTCACGTGGCCCCCGAGGCTGCGAGCTGGGTGCCATTTCCTGAGCGAGACGTGCACCCAGCTCTGCTCCTCCCGGTTCACAGCCTCCTGTGGACCCCAGACTCTGACAGCGACCCTCCCAAAGCCCCTGGGAACCGGATAGATCCTGCGCGACGGGGCCAGTCTCAGGGCCCGGCCCTCCCCCGGAAATGCTGGGCAGACAGTGCCTGAGCGTGTCCTTGGGGTGGGAGCAGGGGAGAGACCAAGGTGGCCTTTGGTGGAGGCCAACGGGACCCAATCCTTCAGCCCCTTCCCCCTCCCACTGCCTCGCCTGGCCAAGGAGAAGAAAATCAAAGAATCCCCGAAAGTGGCCAACTGCTGGTTTGGGGGTGCTGGCGGTGCTGGCAGCGGCTGTCATCGGGCAGCTGGCGAGGACAGTGCAGGGGCCTGGTTTCAGCCCTGCCACCAGCACTGGTGGTTAAGACATGCTGGTCTGTCCTGACCGGTGTGGCTCAGTGGATAGAGCATCGGCCTGCGGACTGAAGGGTCCCAGGTTCGATTCCGGTCAAGGGCATGTACCTTGGTTGCGGGCACATCCCCAGTAGGGAGTGTGCAGGAGGCAGTTGATCGATGCTTCTCTCTCATCGATGTTTCTAACTGTCCCTCTCCCTTCCTCTCTGTAGAAAAAAAAGAAAAAGAAAAAAAGCATGGCTGTCTGGTGAGGGCAGTGCCGGCCGTGGTGCTGGTGGACAGACGTTGCTGGCCATGGTGGTGCCAGTGCTGCGGTGCAGCTAGTGGTGAAGGTGTTGCTGGCAGGGGTGGCGTCTGGGACATGGTTGGCAGATGAGATGCCATTGGCTCCGGTGGCACTGGCAGTCAGGGTGCTGGTGGCCGAGTGCCCTGCCCACGAGCGTGTCTGTGGTCCCGACGGGTGATGGAGGTGCTGCGGCCGGTGCTGGCGACATGGTGGCGGTGGGCGAGCGCCGGGCAGGGCGGCAGCTGAGCTGGCATCCTCGATGGCGGATGTGAGGTGGCCTGGGGGTCTGTGGCAGCTTGTCGGTGGTGCTGTTCGGCTCCTGAGCCTCTGTGGCGCTGGCGTTGGCGGCTGGTGCTCCTGCGTGGGGGCTGGTCTTACCCGTCAGCCTGCCAGGCCCAGGCAGCAGGGGCCGGCGCCTCCCTGTTAGGCCCCAGGAGACAGGCTGCCACCCACTCTGCCCGCTGTACCCAGGGCACCCAGCACAGTACCCACCAGGCTGCACCGCCGTGCGCCTCGGTGCCCCACAGCCCCCGTGTCTCCCGCAGGCTCCGCGTGCAGCACGTGCCCTGAGCAGTGGGTCAGCTTCCGGCGGAAGTGCTACTACTTCGGGGAGGGCCCCAAGCGGTGGTTCCAGGCGCGGGAGGCCTGCCGCGGGCTCGGGGGGCGGCTGGCCAGCATCCACAGCCCGGAGGAGCAGGTGGGCCGGCTCTGCGTGCCATGGGGAGGGGACCTGGCCCTCTGGCCGGCGGGGGACCCAGAGGGGGACCCAGAGGGGGACCCAGAGGGGGACCGGCCTCCTGGCCGGCGGGGGACCTGGGTTCAGCCCGCAGCCCTGCTCTGCCCCCCAGGACTTCCTGGCCAAACACAGCAGCAGGAAGGGCACCTGGATTGGCCTCCGGGACCTGGACAGGGAGGGAGAGTTTGTCTGGATGGACCAGAGCCCCCTGGGCTACAGGTGAGAAGGGAGCTGCCTCGGCTGACCGGCAGGGGGGCGTCTCTGTGATGGGCGTCTCTGTGATGGGCGTCTCTGTGATGGGCGTCTCTGTGATGGGCGTCTCTGTGATGGGTGTCTCTGTGATGGGCGTCTCTGTGATGGGCGTCTCTGTGATGGGCGTCTCTGTGATGGGCGTCTCTGTGATGGGCGTCTCTGTGATGGGCGTCTCTGTGATGGGAGGGGGAGACAGGTGCCCAGGCCCAGACCTGGGAAGCGTCTGGCCTGTCACGGCGGGAGATGGTCCGGGTGGGAGAAGGCGGTGCCTCTGAGCCGCACGGAGATGGGGTGGGCCCCCGGGTGGGGGAGAGGACCTGGTTCGAAGGGTGAGGAAAGGCCGAAGGCAGTGGGCCTCCCCCCACACCAACCTAAGCCTTCCCCGCAGCAACTGGGGGTCCGGGGAGCCCGACAACGGGGCCCAGGGCGAGGACTGCGTGATGCTGCTGAGCTCGGGGCAGTGGAGCGACGCCTTCTGCGGCAGCTATCTCACCAGCTGGGTGTGCGACCGGCTGGCCACCTGCTGACTGCCGCCCGCCGACTGCCGCGGTCCCCCCCAACGTGGACCCCGACAGCCCCCGCCTCCCTCACGTGCACCCCGCCTGTGACTCCCACCCAACCTGCTGTCGCCGCCTCCCCACCTTCCAGTGCTCCAAGCTCCCACCTCAGGACTCCTGCCCTTCAGCCTGAGTGCTGGGCCCCCCCAGGGGCACAGGCCTGGCAGGCCCGCTCTCCGGGGGCACAGACGCCATCAGGACCCCGTCGTCCCCGCCTCCCCTCCTGCCGGGGTCAGGATGGACCGTGCCCTTGTCTGCTCCTGATGTAGGCCCTGTGTCCTAGCTCCTCCTGCCTCCTGCCCACGTCAGGAAAATGGGGTGCAGGCAGCCCCTCACACATCCCCTCCTCGGGGCCTCAGTTCTGGTTTCCAGGCCGGAAGGTGGGGACTGGGCGGCCCAGAGCCTAAAGCCTCTGAGTCTGGGGAACAGCTGAAGTGGCATTTGCACCCCCCACCTTTTTTGTTGTTGTTAATCCTCACCTGAGGATATTTTGACTTTTTAGACAGCTTGGAAGGGAGGGAGACAGTGAGAGGGGCATCAATAGGAGAGAGAGACACATGGATCGGTTGCCTCCTGCGCAGGGATCAAACCTGCATCCCAGGCTCTTGACAGGGAATCGAACCCACGACCCTTTGGCCCATGAGCCAGTGCTCTAACCACGCCAGCCAGGGCCCTCCCACCTTTTTTCCCTGCTTCATTACAAGAAGCAGTTTCTAGTCAGGGCTGGACATGAGGACTCTGCGATCCAGGGGGGCACAGAACACCCCCAGTCCCTCTGAACATTGCGGGGTGAAGCTGGGGACCGACTGCCCTGAGCCTCGTGCCCCTGCCCAGGCTGCCGGAGAGAAGACCAGGCCCACACCGGCCCTAAGTGCTAGCCAGCCGGAGAGACCAAGGGGGAGGGGGCCTGGTCACCCGCAGCCTGCGGAGGCTAAGGTTCCAGCCCCACTCAGCGGCCCAGGCTGCACCAGGCCCAGGCGTGGCCAAGGTCAGCCCAGCACTGAAGGCTGGAGGGAGGCAGGCCAGGACACCCCTCGTAGTGCCCCGCCACCAGGTCCTGGCCTAGAGAAGAGCCAGGCACCTCCTGTGACTCTCAGGCCCCCTGGAGGAGGAAGACAATCATGGCGGTGCCCACACTGGACCACCTGGGACCCGGGGAGTCAAGGGCCAGACCAAGGGCCAGCCACGACCCAGGGGCTGGGGAGAGCACTCTACTGGCACCTGGGCGTCTGGGGGCTCAGAAGGGGAAGGGACAGAGCTAGGCCTGCTGCCCACTGGTCTCCCCAGGCCCTCCTCAGAAGGCTCCAGCTGGGAACTCATGACTCCGCTCTACCATGTCTCAGGCCAGCAGTGGGGTCACCCCGCTATCCCTTCCCGCCAAACCCAGAGGAAGGCCATGGGCTCTGCCCTCGCACCATGTTCAGAACCCGCCCACTTCTCCCCCCTCCTGAACTGGTGTGGTCTCACCTTTCACCGTCCCAAGCCTTCCAGAAGTTCCCTTCCAGCTCAGAAAAAAAGCCAAGTTCAAGGTCCTTTGCCATTGCAGAATCCCTGCCAGGTGCCTCTCCTCCTCACTGTTCCTTAAATTTAGGCTTCCTCCAGCCTCAGGGCCTCGCCGGCTGCCCCCTCCCCACTCCTCAGCTAGACCCATCCTGGGCACTCTCTCCCTCTCACTTAAAGGGACACAACTCCGGTTTTTTGCCCACTGTGCTTTCTCACCTCGGCACCCCTTCTTTTAACAAAATGTTAATTTACTGATCTGTCTGATGCCGTCTCTGCTGGCTAGAACAGGAGCTTCTGCCTTCAGAGCAGGAACCTTTGTTTTATTCCCAGCTGTGTCCCCCACACCTGGCAAATGGCAGGCACTCAATAAATACTTGTCAAACTAAGGAATGCATGACCGTGGGTAAGTGACCTCTTCCTGGGAACCTGCTCTGTGGCCTGTTAGCTGAGGGATGCTGCCTGCCCAGTGGCCAGAGGGCAGGTGCTGGGTCCCGCCCTCCGCCCTCCGGAAGCACTGGAGGCCCCTTTGGAAACAGACTTGTTCAGGTGCAGGCAGGTAAGGGGACAGCGCAAACTTGAACAAGGTTTGTGAGAACCCCTTTCACATCCTGCGTGGTTCAGGGTTCCGGTTCAGGGTTCGGGTTCTGGAGGTCACACACAAATGAAAAGGGACTAGAAAAGTATTAATTTGGGAATATTGGGGGCCAGGCGGGAGTCCTATGCCTGGCTTTGGCCTTGCCATTGCTTTCATTCAGGTTTGGGATACACCCACTGCGTTAGGCCGGTAATTCCAGTGACAGGCAATTATCTTATCAGTAAGGATTGACATGATTATTTGGTGGGGAAGTTGCCTCAGTTACCTTTCTTAATTAGGGAGTGGTTGGCTCCGGCCTTTCAGAGCTTCGGGGTGACCAGCTTTCCAGGTTCCCTGTCCACTCCTTCCTAAGGATCAGGGGACAATGATCAGCACTGGTTCCCCTCCCTTAGGGAGGAGTGACTAGGGCCCCAGGGTAGCGGGCAGAAGGGAAAGGGTTGCCTGAGGTGTATTTTTTTTTTTTTTTACAACGGATGTGTGTGTATTTAGAAATTAACTGCAAACTATTTTAAGCATCCAGATTCTGAAGAAGCCCACCTACTTCCCCTGAGAGCCAGGTGTCCAGGGCCCTAGTGCCCGAAGGGCAGCCCTGCCCCGGTGCTTCAGCCGTTCCTGGGAACTCATTAGACATGCAAATTTCCAGCCCAGCGGGAGGGGAGGGTCATGGCGCCCAGTCACCCGTTTTAATACGCTGTGCCTAGCACAGTCTCCAACTAAGGTACACAGGAACCCCCTGGGTGTCTTGCTAAAATGCAGCCTCTGTGGCAGTGGGTCTGGGGTTCCCACATGAAAGTATCTGGGAGGTGGGGTTTCTTGTGTCACCCACAAACTCCCCAGATTTGTCCATGCTGCAGGTCCTTGGACCGCACTTTGAGTAGCAAGTCTAAGGCAGTGGTCAGGCTGTTTCCCAGGTGCACAGCCATACCCAATCGCTGACCTACTACGAGGCACAAACTATTCACTACCCGGACCTTTGTGGATGTGTGCTAGCCCTGGCCCAGAGGAGTCTCTGAGCCCATCCCCGTCCTCCCCCCACCTAGCCCATCCCCGTCCTCCCCCCACCTCCACACCTCTGCAGCCTATAGCTAGCCTCCAACTGGGATTCCAAAATCCACCAGCAACTCTGCCCTCCAGCGGCTCCTTCTGCCTGGCTACCTCCCACTGTCCCTGGACCCCCCCAGCCCCATCTGAAAGCCCAAGCTGGGTCCAACCCTGCCCTCCCCCTGGTATACACAGCCTGGACCTTGGCCTCCCGCAGACTGGGGCAGGGATCTGGGTCCTGCTGAACGCATCTGGGAGGCACCCACACAAGACAAGACCCGCTGGGGAAGGGTGCGCTCACATCCTTTATTTATTTCCCGCGGGGTCAGCGGCCCTCCAGGGCCCGGTCTCGGGCAATGACGGCCTCCTCAAACTTGATCATGAGCGTGGTGCCCTTGTGCCAGTGCGCCGTGACCTTGGCGGGGAAGCCGCTGTGCGTGAGCACCGCCTCCACGATGCCCGCGGTGAAGCTGGCGCAGTTGAGCGTGCTGTTCTCCTTGGGCACCGAGATGTAGGTGTTGATGAGCGGCTCCCGCTCGATGATGTAGAAGGTGCGCGCGTCGTCGTTGGCCTGCTCCAGCTTGTCGGCCTCCTTGCCGAAGAGCGCCTTCCACACGGCGCCCTTGACGAAGAGCAGGGCGCCCAGCACCTTGGTCTCGCGCCGGGCGCCCTTCTCGCGGGCCACCAGCGCGTCCAGCACGCGCGCGCCCACCTGGCGGCCCAGCGCGGCCAGGCGCGCCTGCAGCTCGGCCACGGAGAAGACGCGGCTCTGGCAGTGCTGCACCAGCTCCGAGAAGAGCAGCGCGAAGGCGCCCAGGCTCACCTCTGTGCGGGGCCGCGCCAGCGCGCGCTCCAGCAGCGCCGACTTCCCCCGCGTGAAGCGCGCCTCCATGCCGCCGCCTGCGGAGACGGGCGGGTCAGGGCGGAGGGAGCCCCGGCCCCGGCCCCGGCCCCGGCCCCCGGCCCCCGGCCCCCGTGCTGCCGCGGACCGCCCCCCGGGGAGAGGGAGCCCCGGACCCCGGGCCCCCCCCCCCCGTGCTGCCACGGACCTCCCCCCGGGGAGAGGGAGCCCCGGACCCCGGACCCCCCCCCACCCCGTGCTGTGCGGACTTTCCCCCGGGGAGAGAGGGCCCCGGACCCCAGACCCCCCCCCCCCGTGCTGCCGCGGACCGCCCCCCGGGGAGAGGGAGCCCCGGACCCCGGGCCCCCCCCCCCCCCCGTGCTGTGATGGACTTTCCCCCGGGGAGAGAGGGCCCCGGACCCCAGACACCCCCCCCCCCCCCGTGCTGCCACGGACCGCCCCCCGGGGAGAGACGGGGAGGGAAGGAGGCGTTCGCCTGGGCGTAAATCTTGTCTCCGGGACCCTCATCCAGAGGACAAATGGGGGCAGAGAGGGCTAAGGGCATGGGTAAGGGGAGGGGATATAGGTGGGAATACAAGAAACCCCGCCTCCCAGGTAACTTCTGGTGCGTGAAAAGCTGCTCTGCACCCCTCCACGGGGAGGGCAGACCTCGGGTTGGGGGGGACCAGGAAGGGCGGGGACAGAGAGCATGCCTCCGGGGGACAAGGATGGGCCCGCATTTGTAAGAAAGTCGGGGGTGGGGGGGAGGGCAGTTGGGAGCCCTTCACCCCCATGCTCTCCAGAAAAGTGATGGGATCGGGGAGGAGGCTGACCTTAGACCCGCGGTTTAAGGGAGCCCCAGGGGGGCGCTCTGACCCTCCATCCCGGCGCTAGGAGCTCGGCCGTCGGCGGGGGAGGGGTCCTACGGGATAAAACCCCCGCGGTGGCTGTGCGGTGGGGGTGGGGGGACCCCAAGGCGCCGAGGCACCCTCTCTTCTCCTCCACCCTCGCCCACTCCGGTGGGAGCCGCCCAGGGTGAGGTCGGAAGGGAGGGCTGGGAACCCAGCCCCCACCGGCGGGACGGGCCGAGGCCGGCAGGACTGGGGTGCCGAGACGCCCGACAGGCCTGCGTGGGGGATGGGAGGCCAGCAGGGCCCACCGCTGAGGGAGGGGGAGGCCCAGCAGCAGGGCCGGGAGCCCTCACACACCCTCCCAGCGCCCTCTGGGGGGTCGGCGGCGGGCGGGGCGCGGGGGCCCGGGCCGGGACCACAGCCCGCAGGGAGGGGGGAGCCCACGGGGCCGGGGCCGGGGCGCGGGCGGGCGGGGTCTCACCGGGAACTGCGGCCCTGGCTCGGCCGAGCTGCTTTACGGCGTCGTAAACGGCCCGTGTGCGCAGGCGCGGCGGCGGGCGGCGGGCGGGCCGCGGTTCCCCAGACCCGCCGCTCGGGGGCGCGCGTGTCCCGGAGGCGGCCCGGGAGGCCCGCGGTCAGCGGAACCGCGGCACCGAGGGTCACGTGCTCTGGTGCACGTTTGGCGAAAGGCACGCGTCTCTGTCTCTGGGCACCTGTGTACCCATGTACCCCTAAGGCCACACTCCTGGGGACACGGTCCTGGGACGGGGACCCACTCCAGACGTTATTCTCACACGCCCGCCTGTCTCCCACCCCCCCACGCCCCCCCGTTTCTGGCCTATGCCCCCCTGTTCACAGTGTGGTTTTCCCCACCCCAAGTCCAAACGCTTGCAGACCCTCCCCAAAGCCCCCAGTCGCCCCAATAACAGATCTGAAAGCCACATTGTCTTCTCTTGGCCTTTACTTCCACGAATCACAAAATGTGAGTTCAGAAACAGACACACGTGTGTCCGTGCTCCAGCACCCTGGTGACAAGCAGGCGCACTCACATGGACACACGTGGTTCTTGGGGGCACAGGGAGTGACAGGGCACACACCGTGGCACCTGCATTCCCACGGTGTGCTTCCACACACTGCCACCGGGACACGTTTATACACACAACATGCTGCAGGACATTCACACAGTCACACCAACAGTGAAACATGCATGGGTAGCACGTGTTACCAACACCCACACTCACTGCGACACACTTTTGTGCTTCCCGCTGACACAGCTACCCACGGCGGTGTGCACAACACCACACACACGCTATGATGTACACAAGGATGGGCCTGGACAGTGACAGGTGCACACACACCCTCTGTGACTCCCACATTCAACATTCACCCAACACCTGCCCTCCGTGAGATGCTTACCCCACACACATCACATACACACATGCACACACGCAACTCCACAACACTCATTCACCATGACACATGACTTGATATGTGGGGATGACGAGCAGGTTCAGACAAGGCTGGCCCCATGTGTCATATATCCTGGGAGGTGCCACCCTGTCCTCCGAGCTGCACGCAGGCTGCCGTGTCGTCTTGGTCACGGAGGTGTGGGCTGGGTCGGCTCTGTGAGGAAGGGAGGTGGAGATCCAGATCAGGCAGGTGCCCCGGGGAGAAGTTGGGGTCACATCGCCCCCGGCCCCAGCTTACGTTGACTTTGTATTTTCTGCAGGATCGACACGATTTGCTGTGACTGAGTCTTGATTCGGCTTACATCTGGGGGTGGGAGGAGACAGGAGAAAACTGGGGGGGAGCCTCGGACAAGGCCCCCACCTCGCCCAAACCCCCAGGCAGGGTGCTGCAGAGCCCTGCACTTGGGTTCCCAGCAGCATTTAAATACCCACCTTACTAAAAGGTGCACCCATCAGCCCTCCGAACCCTGCGCTCTGGGAGGGAGGGCCTCTGCTGTCCCCACACCAGACCCCCCCCTCGCACCACGGTCCCGAGTGAGGTCACAGGGCACCACCTTCCGCCAGCTTCTTCAGCTTCTCGTTCCCAGCCTGGACGTTGCGGTTGGCAGAATCAATGCGCTGCTTGGCGTTGTTGATGCTTTGCTCAGCGTTGCTCCAGCCCTGCCTCTGCCCCTCCTCGCATTCCCGCGCAGAGATGGAGACTGCATCCCCACATATCAAGTCATGTTCAGAAGCTGCACTCTCCACCCCAGCCCGACCCCTTGGGCTCCCCCAGAGCTTCCCCTCACCATTCCAGATCTCCCTTTTCAAGACCAGCAGCTCCTGGGACATCTCAGAATCTGTTCAGGACGGGGGAGGGGAGGGGAAGGAAGAAGAGGGGAAGGGAGGGGAGGGGAGGGGAGGGGAGGGAAGGAAAACACTTGAATTGCCCCAGTTCTGCAGCCCTGGGAGCAGGGGTGGGGGCGGGAAAGGAACTAGGGGAAAGGGGACAGTGGGAACACTGGGGGACCCCTCCACACTGCCCCGTCCCCAGCCCCCACCAACGGAAAGCCCACTCACTCTTCACCAGAACCCAGACCAGCAGGATGATGGAAATCAGGGCAAGAAGGATGTACAGGCTTGCGAAGGCTCGGTGCAACCACCGGGGGCCCTGGGCAGAGTCCGAGGGTGGCCTGGCCCAGGCTGGGACTGGGACAGAGGCAGGGCAGGTGACCTCCAGGGTTCAACTATTGGTACTGATTCCAGCACCATAATAGCTCTGTCCCCTCACCCACTCTTCCCAATGCCATTAGCAGCTGTGACATCAACAACACTGCCACCAACATGCACCCTGACCTGCACCACCAGCACCGTCTGAGCCCACTCCCATCCCTCCTCCCATCCCTCCTCCATCTCCATCACCAACAATTGCCAGTATCAGCAGTAACTGTCAGCAGCCACCAGCATCAATGCTCACTGTTGTCAGCATTGTCCCTCATCAACTCTGGGTGAGTCCTTCCTGGTCCCCTACGTTGTCACCTATCCACCATCACCATCACCAAACCACCAGCACGTCCCCCTACACAATCAGCACCATGACCACCTACAGAGCTGCCCCTACCACTGTCCCACAAGCCCGGACGTAACCACACCCTTCCCCACTGATCCTGCCCTCCAGTGCTGCCCTCTGTCCCTGCAGCGCCTCCCACAGCCCTCCCGTGGGGTGCGGGCTGCAGGGCCGCTTACCCTTACTCTTGGGGGGTGAGTGACTGCCCTTTGGATGGTCCTGTTTCCTTAAGGTCACGGTGATATTCTCATAGTTGGGGTCATCTACAGCTGTGGGGTCAGTGGGAAGGGTTTGGAAACCTTCCTGGAGCTTTGGGGTCGGGGTAGGGCTGGGAGGGGGGCTCACCAAACCCCTGCACACAACACATTTCTGAGGATCAAAGTGAGCCAAGATTCGCTTCTTGGTTAGAGAAGAGGGTGGGTCACAGATTCACATCTTTTGGGGAGGGAAAGAAGCCCTTTGACCCCCACTCTCAGCTCCTACCATCCCATCCCAACCTCTCCCTCCTGGCTCCCGCCCCCTGCCAAGGTGCCTGACCTGTGCTATGGGCTGGTGTCCCCCGCTGCTTGTCTTTGAAGGCTGCGGCCTGCATACCGACCTCCTGGTTTATGTAGATTTCCTCAGACTCCATGGTTCCTAGTCTGCCAGTCTGTCTGCACACACCCCGCCCACCGGAAGGTGTCTCGTCAGAAGAGGAAATCTCGGGTTTGGGGTCTGGGGGTGGGAGGAGAGGCCAGCCTCCTAACTTCAGGGATCCAGAGCCTCCCACCCTGGGGCACCCTCGTACCCCCCAGGTCAAGATGGGTCTTAGGAGGCCAGAGGTCTCAGGAAGGATGGAAAAGAAGCCGTGGACCTGGAGGCAGGCCAGAATGGTCCGGAACTAGTGAAAGAGGCGTTGGCTAATGCTGCAGGCATCATTTTGAAATCTATCAAATCAACACACTGTACACTTCAAATTTGTATAACGTGGTGTGTCAATTACCCTATATAATAAAAGTGTAATATTATATTACAGATGTCCTTCCGGACAGAGCTGGGGCTGCAAGGGGCAAGGCAGAGGTGGCGGCTGCTGCCGTGGGGGCCAAGGCCCTTGCACAAATTTTGTGCACCAGACCTCTAGTATTAACTAAAATAAGGTTTTCTAAACAAACAGGAACTTTACAGAAAGCTGTGTGTGTGTGTCTATCTGGATGAACCTCATCCTCCTGTCTCCTTTCTCTCAAGACAGAAGCTATGGCCCCTCAGAGTCCCACCTTTTAGGGATAGGGGTCACGGTCTCAGCGGCAGGATTCCTGAGTCCCCACGCCTTCCTTCCTGCTTTCCTCCTGCCGCAATGCATCCCTCCACTCCTCTCTGAGAAATGCTGTTCCGTCAAGGCCCCTGGAGGAAAGAAATGGATCTGACACAACAGTGCTAACCACCGGCCGTGCTAACCACCGGCACTTCACCTCTCATCTGCAATTGAGGCAGGTCCACGCCTTGACTGTCCCTGGAACCACTTTCCCTCCACCCAGAGACCCCACTCAAAGACTCAAAGGCACACTCATTCAGACTTCTGCTCACCAGACTCACACACACACACACACACACACACACACACTTGTACACATACTCCCAAATATCCACAATCACATATACACAGAGCACACCCATTCACATGCTTCCACACGTGTTCACTCAGAGAAATATACATACGCATGCATTCACATGCCTCCACTCTGTTTAGGTGTCTTAAAACCCTCTTTGTGTCTATCTGACCTTGAAAATGGGGAATAAAAATGAGACAATGTGTGCAGAAAATTTTCTCTGTAATCTAGTGCCTTCCAAGAGAAATATAATATGAACCACATTTTTATTTAAAAGGTCCTAACAGCCATATTAAAAAGATAAAAAAGAGACAGGCTAAATTGACTTTAATAACATTTTATTTAACATAATATACTCAAAATATCTCTCCAATGTATAGGTGTTATTGTATTATTATTTATATACTAGAGGCCTGGTGCATGAAAATTCACTGCCCGGCCTGCCCCCTCTAACAGTCTGGGAATCCTCTGGGGTGGGAGGTGACCGGGTGATCAGAGGAAGGCAACACCTCATCATAACTCTGCTGCTGCCACTGCCGGCAACGCAAGCCTCAGCTGGCCCTGGTTACCTGAGCCTCAGGCGGCCCTGGCTGGCTGGACAGCTGCCATCTGAGGCTTGCCTGCCCCTTGGGCTGGCCCTGGACGGCTGGTGGGGCTGAGGAGGCTGGGGGACTCTGGAGGCAGGTGTGCAGAGCCACCATGCACCTGCTACCTCAGCAGGGCTGAGGGCACTGCCATCTTTGAGAATGGGGCAGTCAATTAGCATATTCTCTCCTTATTGGCTGTGGGCACTGCCATCTTTGCAATATCGTGAGGGTCGATTAGCATATTCCCTCTTTATTAGACTGGAGGATGTTGCCTTTTGGGAGGTACAAGTTTTCAAAATCAAATGTGTGTTTACACATAAGGTGCCTTTCCATTTAAAGGGCCACATTTCAGCTGCTTAGTGGCTGTGTGTCAGACACCACTCGTCTAGTGTGTTAGAGGTTTCTCTCTTTGGAAAAATGTAAGGCTTTCTGACAATGTGCAGCAAGTGTGATGTTCTCTGTTTAAAATACGTGATTAAATTTGAGAGAGCTTTGGAATGGTCCCCATGATCTGGTGAGGATCTCCTTCCTAAACTGCTGCCAACCTTGTCTGCTCTGGGAAGATCGACTTAGCAGAGAGCAGCCAGCCATTGAGCAATTCGCTCCCCCTTGTGATGTAACTAGTAGCCCTGTGCACAAATCTGGCGCCAGTAGTTTGCTGCCACCCTGCTGTAGCTCCTCCCGCCCCCCTCATAGCTTGCTGCTCTGCCCCCTCCTGTTGTTCTCCCCCACCCACTTGAAGCTCATTGCCCCACCCTCCTGCTGATCCATGGTTTGGTCATTACCTGGTCAGTGGTTACGCTTCATGACATAACGACCACTTGCATATTACATCTTTATTAGATAGGAAGCCACAGAGGAGACAGACAAAGGGAGAGCTGGCTGTGCCTGAAGGACAGGTGCGGGGTAGGGCCACAGACTTGCACATTTCCCTGGTGCAGGTGGCCTCAGGCTGCTCAGCCCTCTGGAAGTTGAGAAGAAGCGGCTGTGATTGGAAACCCCCCAATTATGCCACGGTGACTTGAGAGGGCTCCGTGAGGTTGCCTGGCCAGCCTCTTTCATGGGGTAACAGTTTTCTATTTCTTAAAGAAAGAAAATGTGTCATAATCAGGGATTGGTTTAAGGTGGGCACATGATCCAGGCCCAGCCAATCAGAGTCTAAGATTTGGCACAAGGACAGACAAATGAGTCTGACTCCACCAATGAAACTCAGACCTGGAACTTTGTTGGGTTATCCAAGAAATAAAGGTACCCGCTCTTTCCCCCCCCCCCCCCCCCCACCTGCTCCCCGGGGACTGTCACACTGGGAGATGTAAGCCTAAAGCTGTGCAGGGGAGGACCTGGTTGAGACCGCACTGAGGAAAGCACACACTAGAGGGAGTTGAGTGCTGGAGACGTTGTTTGAGTCCTGGGTTGACCTTACCTGAATCAGTTACTCTAACCCTGGACCTCTCGGTTACAAAATCCAGAGCCTTCCTTCTTTTGCTCAAGTTAGCTTGAAGTGTGGTCTGGGGAGCTTGCAACATGAAGGATCTTGACTACCTCAGGGGGCTAGGCCGTTGGTGGATGAAACAATAGAGGCTCAAGAATGGGGCTTGCCAGGCCAAGGTCACAGGGAGTAAGATGTGACCCCAAGTCTTCACTCTGGGGCAGGAGGGTGGATGGAATTTAGGGCTCTGAGGGGAACCTTCTTGTCCAATTACAGGGGACAGCTGGGTGGGACTTGGAGAAAAGGCATCAGGGCCCCGCCCACAAGTCAGTGAGGGCGACACAAGCACCAGATTCACTTCTCTGGTCCAGGACACACTGTTGTCTCAGTGGTCTCACCCAACCCCCGGGCCACCGTGGAGTTGGAGGAAGGACCTGAGAGGGGAATCCCTGGGTTGGGATCTAAGTGGGCTCCGTGTGACCTCAGCTCATGGCCCGCGGGATCAGACAGGGAGGTGGGGAAGTGGCAGTGGAAGGAGAATCCCAGACACCCTGAAAGCCAGGTCCCCGCCCCATCACCCGTGCTCCTGGAGCGTGCTGCTGGGGCTGTGACTTTTGAGTCTGGGGTTCCTTTAAAGACGGCACCAAGGGTCCTAAAATATGCTTCTCTCAGGGGCTGGATTATAAAACTGTAACAGGCACCTCTCACCGACACCAGAGAGGTGTCACCAGAAAGCCTCTGAGTCATTGGGAGAGGGTTGTCCCCAGCCTCGATCTTTATCTTCTTTTTAAAATATATATGTAAATATATATATTGTATATTAAAAAATATATATTTATATAATATATATATAACCTAATAATAGGGGCCCTTCCTAAATCTAAACCTGGAGCGGAGGCTTTTGGCTTAGGGAGGTGCCAGGCCCTTCCCAAGCCTACAGCCTGGGGCGGAGACTTTAGGCTTGGGAAGGGGCTGAGCCTGGGATCGGAGGGAAGGGGAGAATGTCAATGGAAACGTACCCTCAGGTGAGGATAAAAAATAAAATAAAGAAAGAAATGCATATCCTATGAAAGACACATCTTGAAAATGCCTAATGAAAGTTGTCATTTTTTCATGTTGATGAAAATACCATGGTGGCTGCAGTGGCTGGCAGTGGCTGCAGCAGCGGGGTGATAGGGCTGGTGCCTTCCCCTGATCAGCCCGGTCGCCTCAAGCAAAGGGAGGCCAGGTAGCTTAGGTCCGCTCCCAATGGACATCCCCTGGGGGCACCCAGTATATGAAAGGGAGCAGACTGGGTGGAGGGACCCCTCTCCAGTGCACGAATTTCGTGCACTGGGCTCCTAGTATATATAATTGATTTCAGAGAGGAAGGGAGAGGGAGAGAGAAATAGAAATATCAATGATGAGAGAGAATCATTGATTGGCTGCCTCTTGCACACCTCCTCACTGGGGATCAAGTCTGCAACCCAGACATGTGCCCTTGACTGGAATCAACCTTGGGACCCTTCAGTCCGCAGGCTGATGCTCTATCCACTGAGCCACACCAGCTAGGGCGATCCTTATCTTCACATATAAATGCATTTATACAAGAGACCTTGGCTGTGTTGTGAAAACCCAATCTATTAAAGCAATTAATGCAGGCACCTTATTGAAAAAGCAAAGCCAGCCCACCTATTCATCTGGCTTATGAAGCACAGACGGGCTCTCAGCTCATCTGAAGGGCGAGTTGGGTGGGTCAGAGGCGTTATACACCCTCCTGTCTAGGGTTCAAAACGCCTCTGCTGACTATTTTGGTGCAGAGGTGTTTTGAACCCTAGACAAGAGGGTGTATAAGGTCCCTTTTTTTTCTTTGTTGTGGCCTTCCCAGAATTCATGAGAAGCACCTGCAACTTCATCTTGCCCAGCCTGAGACTGCCAGCTTCTCTGCTTAAGGAGAAAACCTTTTTCCCCTCTCCCTTTCCCTCCTCCCTTTCTGCGTTCTCTCATTGGGAAGGTTTTTTAAACATTGCTCTCACGTCCTGGGCTGGGGGAGATGATGGCGTGTTGAGTATAAGCTGGCTGCAAATTGCCCACACTGTCCGCCTGGTTTTAATGTTCTTGTGCTGAGAGCCAAGATCAACAGTAATTAATATAAATGTCCACCAGAAGGCTGAACCCGGCTCTTTGATATTCACAGGGTGAATATTTGCATTTTATTACCTACTTCTGACTCAGTGGTCTAAAGCAGTGGTCGGCAAACTAAGGCTCTCATGCCACATGCAGCTCTTTGGCCCCTTGAGTTTTTAGCAAAGGCCAGCTTAGGAGTACCCTAATTAAGTTAATAGC